AAGGGTAGGCTGGAGGAGTGGGATTGGAGGGATGGAGGCAAGGGGTGGGCTGGGATGAGGTGGGTGCTTTCTCTCCAAGGAGGCTGGGGGGCTCAGGCCAGGAGCAGCTTCCACCCTGCCCAGGGAGTAGGAAGAATCGTCCGCCAGGAGAAAGAGCATGACCAAACAGGTGATGGAGAGTCTGGAGGATCTGTGAGATCTGGTGACATGGGCATGTGTGCCTCCCTGTGCCCTCCCCTGTCCCTCTCCTGCTGGGCTCCAAGTGGGTGCTGTCTCTCTCAGCCTCCCCTGCCTGTCCCTCCCCCAGAAGCCCCCATGGCAGCCCTGACCTGTGGTGCAGGGAGAGGAGAGGGTATCTCCAGGTCCACTATCCCTGTTCATGTACCCTGTCAGGCTGCACCAGGGTTGGGTAGTGCTAGACTGCTCCTCACCTGAAAGGGGTGGTTTTCCCTTGGGAAATAAGGGGAAAGCAGCCCAGACTCCTTTGCCTCTTCCCTGATGTCTGTGTCCCCTTGACAGGGTCCTTCTCCACTCAGCCATTCCTTGCTGGCAGTGCTCACACAGTGCCTGTGCTGAAGTTGTCACACACTGAGGAGGATGAGGGTGTGTCATCCATGTGCTTTTAGTCCTTGTCCCCCTTTTCCTGTGCTCCATGTGTGCGGTGAGGACTGCTCATGTGTGGTGCTGTCTCCCAGGGCAGGACAGGCAGATCATGCTCGACAATGACGACCTCACATATGACAGCATGGACGGAGAGGAGGATGACTATGATGAGGTCCCAGAGATGGACAGCTTGGAGCAGCCCACAGTGGATGGTGAGCTTCCCTGCACTCACCTGGCACTGAGAGCTAAGCTACTGGGGGAAACCATAGAGCTGCCTCAGGTTTTGCTGGGGTGGTGTCTTCACACCCAGCTGGGCAGTGGGTTCCTGTGCCTTCTGTCTGGGGGGATTTGGGTTTTCCTGCCCTCTTGTTGGTACTTGGGAGGGTTGCACCTTTCCTATCACTGTGCTGCCCACACCATGCAGACCTTTTGCTCTATCCCTGTCACCAAAGCTGTCACCAGCAGTGATGGGTGTTGTGCTGGGGTGGTGGGAGCTGCTGCCCTGGCAGGTTTCCTGTGCTCTGGTCATGAGCCACAGGACGGATGCCAAAGGCCCCAGGGATCAGGGAAGCCCCAGTGGCAGCAGCCTTTGGAGAGTCCCTATATAATCCTTTCAAGGGGTGCTGTGGCCATCATGTCCCCACGCCACCTACCTCCCAGCTCTCTACTGAGAGCTGTCCCGGGGTACAGCTTGCCCAGAGTGGTGTCTCCTGCCCTCAATTCCAGCATTTGGGCAGAGCACAGAGGGTCTCCTCCAGCCAAACCCTTCCCATGCTCAGTCTTGCCCTTCTGGGCTTTCCCCTCCTCTGCCACGTGGGTCTGGCAGCCTCCACCGCCCATGTGCTGCCAGCCCTGCCTGCCCTCCCCAGCAGCGTTTGCCCCACAGCTGAGCCCTGCGGGCTGCCGCTGGACGAGGGGCAGTGCCAGCGCTACACCCTGCGGTGGTACTACAACCAAAGAGTCTCCCAGTGCCGGCCCTTCGTCTACAGCGGCTGCCAGGGCAACCTCAACCGCTTTGACAGCAAGGAGGAGTGTGAGCTGCACTGCAGGCAGCGCCCGGGGGCAGGTACGGAGCTTGGCACAGCTGCTGGCACCAGCAGCACCCCCACCTTGTGCCGTGGGCCCGGCAGTGCAGAGCTGGGGGGACAGTGCTGGTCCCAGCCTCGGCTCTGACAGCACCTTCTTCTCTCCACAGATTCCCGTGGCAGTGCCGGCAGCAAGGTGGGAGGGCAGCCAAAGGTGTAGGTGCAGGCAGAGCCTGGGCAGGCAGGGCTGCCTGCAACTGGGGCCCAGCTGCTGCCCTGGCCGGGGCTGGGCTGCCCGTGGTGGCACCAGCCCCAGCAGGAACCTGGTGCTATTTCTAACCTGTCTTTATGCTGCTCACGGGTTTTTCATTTCATATCAGTTTATTGTCATTAAGGTGAAATTTATGTCAAATGGGAAACTGCCTCCCACCAAGGCTCTGAACCCCCTTTCCCACTAGGCTGTTCTCAGTTTGACTTTTAAATTATTTGTTGCCAACAGAATGGTTCTTAGCCCTGTTCCCTCTCTCTGGAAGCAGAGGTAGGACTTGGCATAGTTGGGCTCCCTCCCCTCCCATAATAGCCTTGTACTCTTTCCTGCCCCCCATAGGCCCCCAGACTCCCTCTCCACTCTTTGCTGGGAGGGCTGCCCACATCCTTGTGCCAGGCAGTGCTTCCCTGCACAACATCCCCCACCCCCACCTGCAGTGAGCTCCATCTGAATAAATTCCACCTTAACCTCAACTAGGGCCCAGTTCCCCTTTTGTGGCTGTGATGGTTTGGCAATGACCTGTGGGGAGACTGGAGTCTCTTGCCATGTGCTACCCTCCAGCTCACCCGCCTGCCAGCAGCACTTCTGGCTTTAATCTGGGGGATCTCACCTGCACCCCCTGGCCTGGCAGGGAAACCCTGAGGATGGTGCTATGTTAGAAGAGGCTCCTGCTCGCCCAGTTACTCTCAAAGGCTTTGTGAAAGCGATGTTGCAGCCCCTGCTTGCCCCCATCCCCAGGGCTGAGTAGGGACTGACTGCCCTGCCCCAGAGCCCCAGGGCTGCCGGGTGGGCTCTGTGGCCCCACACGTACTGCTGTTCTCTGTGTGTATCTATATACAGCAAATGACTGTGTGTACCAACGCAGGGGGGATGTGGATTAAAGCTGTGCTCACAGGGAGATGTCACACTTCTTGCCATGTTGCTGGAGATGCTGTGGAGTTTGGGGGCAGCTCTTGACTCAGGCCCCTGCCCCCCCTAGCTGGGCTGCCCTTTCCAGTTGCCCACAGCTGGCAGTGCTGGCTGGGGTTCCTCACCCTTCCAGCTGCCCAGTGCCCTATCCCTGTGCCCAGCACGTGCCCAGCTGATGCAAGCCAGGCCATGACCCCCCGTCCAGGCCCTGACGTGTCAGCACGTGGGTCTGTGGTGCTGCATAATGTACTGTGTGAATCAGTGCTGCCAGCTAATTTTGGCTTCTGGGTGTGAGTTCCTGGCTGTCCCTGGGAGGAGGAACAAAGCTGGCATTATTTCTGTTCCCTGCTGTCCTGGAGAGGGTGGCACAGGATGGGTCACCCATCGGTTCAGACCACGGGGGTGGGCAGTGCTGTGGTCTGAACCTTGGGCACCCTGACTCCTGGCCCTGGCCAGCCCATGGGGCTGAGCACCCACAACTCACCTCATGCAGTGCCCACCCAGCCCAAGAGCCTTGGGGTGCTCCCACATTCCCTAGAGGGGGAACTTTGGAGCCAAACCCTTGTATATGGGGCTCACCCCACAGCAATGCCTACAGGCTGCTACCCACCTTGGCAGCTGGCAGAGGGGCTGGGCCAGGCTGGGCTGGTGCAGGTGCCTGCAAACCAGTGGTGTCCCAGTTGGAATACATTAAGGTGAGCTGCAAGTCACTGCCTTCCTGCAAACCAATGGCCAAAGCAGTGCTTGGGTTTGGCACAGCAGGGAGGTGACATGTCTCTAGGTATGTCCTCCATGTGGCCAGGGAGTCTGTCAGGACACAGTGCCAAACTGGTACCAGGAGCTGTCCAGGGGCCTTGTGAGGCACAATGCCCCGAGGTCTGCCCATGATCCTGGCAATATGCATGTTCTCTCCCTCCCTTCAGTGATTACCAAGCCTGACAGGAGCAGGGAGGCCTAATTAGATGGAGAAAAAACATCTTGCAAGTCAAACATGAAACAACTGAGCTGTCCCAGGTTCCTGGAATCCCCTCCAAACGCAGCTGGTGAAGCTGCAAGGGGGCACACACCCACCCACATCCTGGGATGATTTCATCTGCCATTAGGCAAAATGTATTAAAAACATTTCCACACACCACCCCCCCGCCACCTTCCCCCTGTCACTGTCACCCCCTCTGCGGGTCAGAGGTGGAGCTGGGACAGGATAAGAGCCAGGGCTTGGCAGGGAGCAGAGCAAATGCCCAGATTGTGGTCCCTGCACCCTGGGAGCACTGCCTGAACATCGAGGAGACGAGGACCTGCTGCAAATGGTGAGGCTGTGCCCTCAGTGGTGCTTTTCAGGGGCTTTTGGCTGGGGAAGAGGTTGCAGGAGGTTAGATGCTTTTCATTCCTAATTTTGCAGTGACTTAACCACCCCTGGCTGCCTATTCTGGTACTCTCCAAAGGGCTTCACCCCAGAGATACTCTGCTGGGTGACTGATTTTGGAGAGAGGCAGCTATATAGCAGGATTTGTGCACCTGCTCTGACCCCCACCCCACATCCCAGCACCCTGACCCCCACCCTGTAGCACAGCATCCTGCAATCTCTGGGGCCTCCCTGTGACCAGGGTGAGGGAGGGGGTGGACAAAGTTGCTGAGGCTTGACACAGCTCAGGACCTGTGGCCACTCTCCTTTCCCTGTCACCCCAACGTGACTAATATGCTGTGTATTTTAGTCCAAGTGGCTCGTGCCCCTCCTTGGTGGGTGGCTTTTGCCCCAAAGAGCCCAGCAACACAGTGGGGAATGGCATCTGCCAGGGAACGGATGGGAGGAAGAATGCTCCACTGCCTGCCCAGCCCTGAAACCCCAGACATTTCCCTGGCCAAAGGGCAGGAATGGGTTGGGGAGCAGCCACAGTACCCTGGCAGGCACCCTCCTGAGCAGGATTGTCTCCTTCCCTGGGGGACAAAGGCATGAAGGGTGTGAAATGGAGGGCATGGTTAACACCTGGTCAGGGGCTGTGTGAGAGGACAAGGACACCCAGGTGATTTGCTTCCCATTTCCCCTTCAGCCTCCCCAAAACTCCCCATTCTGTTCAAGAGGGTTAAAATCAGGGTGGAATAATGAAGGGCTCCTGAAAGGAGGGTGAAGCCCCACCAGCTGGTGAGGGAGTTGGGGGGCTCTGTGGGTGACAGGGTGATGGGGGTGATGCCAAGCCATGTGCTCCCCACAGGCTCCCCTGGCCACGCTGCGAGGCAGGATGCTGCTCTCCTTCCTGCTGCTCCTGGGGACACCAGCAAGGGTCTGGAAGGGACAGAGCCATGAGTGGCTCCCGCCACCCCCCCAGGCTGTGGATGGAGGGAAGCTGATGAGGCAGGACAGCACCAGCCCTAGCAAGATGCTGCCAGATCCCTCCAAAGTGAGGAGCAGTGACGATGGCTCGGGGGCAGGGTCTCATCCAGATGAAGCCAGCCTGTCACTGCTAGAGGGACCAGAAAGACAAGCACTGCCCTGGCTGATGAGCCCAGCCACCAAGAGAGCGGCTCCCAGGAAAAAGGGGAGGAAGGTGTCCCTGTCATTCGATGTCCACACTCACTTACTGAAAATCCTGCTCGACCTGGCCAGAGAGAAGGAACTGCAGGCCAAGGCAGCTGCCAATGCCGAGCTGATGGCCCGCCTGGGGCGCAGGAGATAAACTGTCCTGGCTGGCATCTAGCAGGGCTGGAGAGGGCAGCGGGGCTGGCAGAGGGAGGCGTGGAGCGGCACTGGTGTGTGTGCAGGGCACTGGACATGGCACCTCATCCCCCTGGTCCCAGTGCTCATAGCACAAGCAGCAGCCGTGGGAGGATTTGATTTAATAACTCTCACCTCAGCACCATTGGAGAAGACACAGCTGGGTTTACCTTGGCCAGTGCTTGAGCACAGCTGGTCCCAGCTCCAGGCACTACAGGGATTTCTAAGCTTGGCTTTGCTCCCTGCTCATCCAGCACCTAGATGTCTCCAAAGGGGCTGCATCCAGCCACGCAGTTTTTCCTGGGTGCTTCTTCTCTCTGGATGACTGAAACACACAAAATCCTCCACAAAGCTTGGCCAAGCCTCAAAGCCGGAATTTTGAGTGAGTGTGCACAATAAAATGTGGCATCAAACACAACTCATGCTTTATACCTGTTCTGCACCCCTTTACACACCCATTTTGTGTTCCCTTTCCCCAGAGATCCTGTGAGAGCACGTGCTCAGCTAGGGCCAGCATGGGGGGTCATTAAATTCCACATGAGGGGTGTCAGACCCTGCACCAACAGCGGAGCTGGCCCAGGGAGCCCACAGCAGCTCTGGGCCAACAAGGAAACTGTCTTGTGCCACTGGAGCTGCTGCTTTCAGCACAGCTGGGAGATAAGAGCAGTGCAGAGCAGAGTGCGGCCGCCCTGTGCAAAGTACAGGGTGGTGCAAGCAAGGCTGAGGCCGGGAGACACCTGCAGGGGGGCCACTGGAGCTGGTGGGGGACACGGCCATGCTCTTCGAAGACTACCTGCTGCAGGGTGAGTGAGCCCTTGCACTGTGGAGTGGGCACTGGCTTTGGGAAAGGGGCAGAAGCAACCGGGGTGACCCCACATTCCATGGAAGGGACAGATTTCAGGAAAGGATGTGCCAGCAGATGGTGGGTTGGGGTGAGGTGGCAAGGCGGATAAAAGGTTTTTTGCTATCCCTGCCTGACCTGAAGCTCAGGTGATGCCTGGCCCCTCGAGATACCCCCCTGCACCCCCTGGGTGTGTGCTGTGGGGCTGAGCCTGAGTTTGTGGGCCAGGGTAGAGACAGGGTGCTGGTAGCAGTGGGGGACAGGGGTTATAGGAAGACCTGCCAGAACTGGTGCATCCAAGTGGGACACTCCAGGGCAGGCAGCCTGAGTGACAACTGTCCATCCCGCAGAAGGGGGTTCTCCCCTGCTACTTCCAATTGTTCTTGGGATGCTGAGCCTGTGAGGATCTCCTTTCCATGTCCTGCCACAGTGTCTCATCTGTCCTCCCCGAGACCCAGTGTGCCCCTACACTTCAGCGCACTCTGTCCCTAGTGCCCCCTCACCTCCGAGTGCCCTTCCCCTGCCCAGCTCAGGGGTCCCAGTGCCAGCCCCCATCACCAGTGCTGCCCTGGTACCAGTGCCTCCTGCCGCGGGCCGTGTGCTCTCCCCAGCCCAGCTGGAGGAGCAGTGTCCCGGTGTCCCCAAGGGCTGCTCCAACCCAGCGTACCGAGCAGTATCCCGGTGTCCCAGCAGTCCCGGTGTCCCCGCTGTCCCGGTGTCCCCGCAGTCCCGGTGTCCCCGCTCTCCCGGTGTCCCCGCTGTCCCGGTGTCCCCGCAGTCCCGGTGTCCCCGCAGTCCCGGTGTCCCCGCTGTCCCGGTGTCCCCGCTCTCCCGGTGTCCCCGCAGTCCCGGTGTCTCCGCAGTCACGGTATCCCCGCAGTCCCGGTGTCCCCGCTCTCACGGTGTCCCCGCTCTCCCGGTGTCCCCGCTCTCCCGGTGTCCCAGCAGTCCCGGTATCCCCGCAGTCCCGGTGTCCCCGCAGTCCCGGTGTCCCCGCAGTCCCGGTATCCCCGCTGTCCCGGTGTCCCCGCTGTCCCGGTGTCCCCGCAGTCCCGGTGTCCCCGCTCTCCCGGTGTCCCCGCAGTCCCGGTGTCCCCGCAGTCCCGGTGTCCCCCGCAGTCCCGGTGTCCCCGCAGTCCCGGTGTCCCCGCTCTCCCGGTGTCCCAGCAGTCCCGGTGTCCCCGCAGTCCCGGTGTCCCCGCTCTCCCGGTGTCCCAGCAGTCCCGGTGTCCCCGCTCTCCCGGTGTCCTCAGGGCCGCCCCTGCCCCCGCGTCCCCTCAGCGCCCACCCCGACCCCGTCCCCAGCCCCGCCAGCCCCGCCCCTGCCAGCCCCGACCCCAGCCCCGCCAGCCCCGCCAGCCCCGCCCCCGCCATCCCCGCCAATCAGACCGCGCTATTGCCGATTGGCCCCGCCCCCTCCCTGTCAGTCACGGCTCCGCGCCACGCCCCTCAGCCGCCCGGGAGGCGGCCCCGCGCCTGCGCAGTGCGGCGGCCGCAGTGCCGGTGACAGGCTGGCAGGAAGGGGCGGGGCAGGAAGGGGCGGGGGCGGTGCCGGGACCGGGAGTGGGTCCGGAACCGGGACCGGGATCATCGGGATCAGCATCGAGATCGGGATCTAGGTTGGGACTGCCGCTGCCACGGGACGGGAGGGCTGCAGCGACAGGCCGCTCGGTAGCACCATGCTGAAGAAGTTCGACAAGAAGGACGAGGAGTCGGGTGAGGGGAGGCCGGGGGCGCTGTGAGGGGAGAGACCTTCAGTGGGTACGGAGGGGATTGGCGAGGGGGACCCTTGGTGGTACGGGGAGAGCCGAGAGGGAAGAGAGCCCTGCAGTGGCAGTGAGGGGAGCTGTGAGGGACAGAGGGAGCTGGGAGGGGAGGCTCGGTGCCAGCCTGGCAGCGGGGGCTCGCTGGTGTGCATGGAGCGCGGTGGGAGCACTGGAGCGGTCTGTGCCTCCTTCTCGCAGCTGCAGCCCGAGGCTAAACTGATTGCATCGGCACAGCACAGCGAGGTTACTGCCACATCACCAGGTGCAGAGATGAGACTAAATATTGAGCACTTTAGCCCTGTTCACAGTTGCCCAGCTCTGGAACCAGGTGCTATAGCCAGGTAAAATCCATCGTTTCTGGCCCCACAATCACTGCTACTTTCAATGGATCAGAAAACCTGAGAGCACCAAGGAAACATGAAGTGGTTGCCTGACTTTTCAAAACTTTAGGCCGATTAGTGAGGAAGAGGTTGATATTTTATGTGGTGCGTAATTCAGGTGTAAACGATGCATCATAAGACAGTGTTTCCTTTCACGGTTTAGCTTTGTGGTATCTTTTTCGTCTTCCTATGAAGCTTTCTACGCATCTTGCTCTGCATAAGAAATCAGTGTGTCCTGAAGCAAATTGATTCAGCTTACATCTTGGTGATTGTTCTGTGTTACTCTGCTTTCTTCTTATCTTAATGGGCATGAAATTCTTTGCCCTTGTTTCCCTTTTCCAAGGCCTCCAGTGACATCTTGATAAGCAGAGAATTTAGTGAGGCAGCTGTTGGAGGGGAATTACTCTTGGCTTTCATTTTGGGGGCTGTTCTTCATTTGCAGCTGCCACACCCATCAAGGTATTGACATTACCTATGGCTAGGGTTGGCAGGAGATGCATGTATCCAGTTAGTTTGCTTTTGTGTCTTTGCTTTCCATGTATGGTTTTGCTAGCCTTGGATGACCTGCCCCCACTCCCTGTGACATGTAATTTTGGCCACAAAATTATGTTTCTCAACAAATCAAAATAACTTGTTGTTAGTTATCCAATATTAGGAACTTTATGAACACACAACCTCTGCCCTCCCTGCATCTTTCTCCATCTCCATGGAAGAAAACTGATGCAGGGTGCTGTGAGGACTGAGACCCCATGTACAATGTACTTCAAGATCCTTAGTGCTATGAAGGAGAAAGAGGTGATGCAGCATTGGTCACGGCTGATTTAAGGATTGTAGACATGCTGGACCATGGAAATACTGGGCTGCTGGGCAGGTTTTTTGGAACACATAAGCATATTTATCCTAGAACTGGTTCATACTCATAATAGAGACATTTTTGCTCTTTCCCCTTGTTTTGTTCTACCTCTTCAACCTCACATAAGTGTCTGTGTTTTGTTCAGCCACCTGCTGCCTTTGCAAACTTCTCCTGAGCCAGAAGGAGGGCATTTTATGAACCAGGAAGGAGCCAGAGTGCAGATGTGTTTGCTTTTCTATGTAAGGCTTACTCTGGAAAGGGCTCCTGGCACCAGCCTAGGATGCTTCAAGCTTGGGTCAGGTCAGATTTTGGCCCAGGAGATGTTCTCTCTAGTGGACCAGGCTTTGGCACAAACACTAGAACAGCCCTGAAAAATGCTGCATTCTGTCCCAGGGCCAGGCTTGAACATAGGTTCTAATTAAAACCTGCCTATCAATAACTAGCAGCTTTTGAAAAGCTGCAGGTCACTCAATGCTTGGGAGGCAATCTAATAGAGACCATGCAGAATGATTGTGCTTTTCCCTCTGATTATTTAATCCTTAATCGCTGGGAGTTCTAATTATTTAGTATCATTTACTTTGTTAAGTGGAACAATGAAAATTACTTTGTGTCCAGCCTATCTAGTCTGCTGTCTTGTTCTCTTAATTAGTGATAGAGCCAAAAATACTTTACTGGTGGATTTTTGATTGGTTTATATGGGATGATAAAACACTCCTGACTCACCAGTCTGGCAAGCAATACCTCTTCCTGTCTAAGCTTTTGTTTCTAGGTCTGTCCTGTTGATGCTCTAACTGCCAGCAAGCTCCCAGCCCAGGGGTGGAAATAGTTCTTTGGGGATACAGTGGAGCACAGTTATTTTACAGCTAATCAGTCTATGTCTGCCTTCCCTGACTGCAACGAAGACATCCAATTAATATTACTTCAAAGAGGGTGCTCTCATGGCTTGGTGTTCATGAAAAAAAATCACCCCAAAATGCTCAGACTGTTTTTAAAGTATGGGCATGGTTAAAAAGTTGCTTTTCCATGGCACTATCCTTGGAGAGACTTTTACTCTCTCTGTTTTGCAGGTGGGAATTCCAACCCGTTCCAGCACCTGGAGAAGAGTGCAGTCTTGCAAGAGGTAAATCTTCAGACCATCTTCTCTGTGTACCCCACTGGACAGAGTCTCTCCCTCTCTTGAGTAGGTCACTGGAGAACTTCTGTAAGGAAATGAGGGTTTATTATTGTCCTACTTGCTCTGAAAGAAACGGGCAACAGTTCTTACTTTGTTATTGGACAGATAAAGGGAGAAGGTTGAAATGGTCTCAGTAACAAATTAAAGACTCTGAACTCTAAATAGTAATAAAAGGGAAAAAATTATCTGCGAAAGCTCACCCCAAACCAGGAAGATTGGGAAATTGGCCTTGGACACCCCAAATTTCTTGTGGACGACAATATTAGTGAGAGGGGTGTGAGTGGTTATTAAACAGTTTTATGAATTTTCTCTGAAGAAATGCCGTTCTTTTCAAGAGCAGATGAACATCTCAATCCCCAGCCCCTGTTGGTTCAGCATTCTCTTTTTGCTTGTGAGGCTGGGAACAGTGTTGGTTCCTGTAGCCTCAGCGAGCTCAAGTTCATGTGTTGGAAGAGTGGTGTTTTAGCTAGCACACAGCGCAGACCAGTGTGGGGGAAAGTGTGATGAGAATTTAGCCTTTAAACCTCTATTGCTCTCAGATTTGTAATCTCAGACTGCAAAACCAGCTGTTTAAAGGGGTCTATGTTTAATAGGAATTAAAGGAAATCTGATCCAAAGTCATTAAGTATCTTGTCATACCTCACTCACAGTTTGTTGCTGGGACAGGCAGGACACTGTTTGCAAGGGGGGTGAGTCCTTGTCTGTGCTTTGTCTCCAGGCTCGAGTGTTTAATGAGACTCCCATAAACCCACGAAAATGTGCTCATATCCTCACCAAGATCTTGTATCTCATAAACCAGGTAAGAGAGAGAAAATATATACCTATACAGACATGTGCATCAGGCCCAAAGCTGGTTGTGATCATTGGGATTTCCTTTCTTCTTTCCACACAACTAGGGGGAGCACCTTGGTGTCATGGAAGCTACCGAATCCTTCTTTGCTATGACCAAGCTGTTTCAGTCCAGTGATGTAAGTCTGCCTTTGGTTTTCTGTATTTATCTGGTGGGACAGGTTGTCCCTTGAAATACACATTTTTATACAATCAGCTTTTCTGTCCTGTCTGAAGCTAGCTGATCTGAAAGTAGGGTGAAAGTTTAGAAGTGGTAATCAGCTTCTTAGCCCTTCCCAGATCTTGTAGCAGCTTAACTGAAGTAGGCACTGCTCTTGAGGCAGAGATTCCTCTCTCTAAATTGCCATTTAACTAATGAGATTGTGGTAGGCAGATGGATTTTACTGTGCTTTGTGCCCAGCATTAAAATATCCTGCTGAGAGTCAGCAATTGTGTGTTTGGAGGAGACTGGGAGTTAGTGCCTACTCACAGCAGTAGCACTGTCATTAACTGTCCCCCAAACTGCAGGGCATTAAAATCATGAGACCAGTGCAGAAATCCCCAGACTCGGGAATATAAATTGTTTGCCTTCTTGCTTTTGAAGCAACACGAGGCTTTCAACCACCAAACCATCAAATAGTTTCAAGGCCGCCTCCTTGTCCATGTGAATGACAAGTAGAAGATGAAACCAGATGCAGCTAAATCCTGTATC